CCGGGCCGGCTCCTGCCGCCCCTCCGGGAGCCGCGCTCCCCGCCCGTCCTTCCCGCTTCTCCGCCCGAAATTCCCGCTTCCCGGCTCATCCCTCCCGCTTCCCGGCTGGTTCTCGCTGGCTCCGCTCAGCCACAGGGGTTCTGACTCTGCGAGGGGCTCGGGGAGCGGGAGAGAGGGAGGCCTGAGGCGGCAAGTGCCGGTCGTTTCCATCGCCGAGGTAGCGCTGGACTTGTGCGAGGTTTCAGCGTTGTTCTTTGCTTTTACCCTTTCGATTTTAAATGCACCTACTGGCCACAAATTTCTGTCTTCTCCGGCAGGAAGGAAAAAACCAAACCTCATAAGTGTCTGAATGTATGTCAGCCTCCCCCCCTTGGTACTTAGACGATCTCAATGGGGTGTAGTGTTTAAATTTCTTTAATACTTTTGGGATTTTCATTATAATCATTGGGAGCCTTTTCCCATCTCATTCTCCCCATTCTGTTAGAAAACTGAAATAAAGGAACAACTGATTGCTTTGATTGTACTTTGGAAGATAACGCTGAGCAATCAGCCAGGTCAGGTAGGTATGTATTCAGTGGCCTTGTGTTTGTAGGCAGCCTCCGTAGTTTTATATCTATTGAATGGCTTGCCTTAGAAATCTAAATTTTTCTGTAGCTTGTAGCCTTGTTTTTAAAGTGAGTAGAAGAAATTGATGACAGTAATGCTAACATTGCATAATTTTAGAGAATGTTTCCCCTAGTTGGACAATTGGCTTTTTCTTTAAAATCTTGCTTTTCACATGTCATCCAAATCCTGAGTGGTATGGTATGTTTCAATAATGTTCCATAATCAATTGTTCATTATTCAGAATAGTTGCCAGGGTAGATATGTTTTGTGTTGTGATGAAATAGTAGAATAGTAGAAGATCAAAGATTCCTTTCAGTTCCCTGGTGTAATCTGTATTGTGTTTTTTGTGTGTCTTCTGTGATTTTGCAGTGAGTGCTGATACCTTCAGCCATGGAGCTGGTATTTTGAGCACATCAAGCTGTAAGACACACTAATGCACAAGAACTTGTTTTATGTGGTAGTGTATCTGGGTAACCTACACATTGCAGGACTATTTCAGAACCAGGATTTTTAGAATTAAGAAGTCAGGGCAAAATTCAGTACGTTCTAAACAGCTAATACCAACCATGCTGATGACCTTGATTCTGCCCTTTCTATTGAGGAGGTAGAGTAAAAGCAAAAGAAGAACTTGCTATGCCATATGAAGCTTTGATAACTGATATTTTACTTAATAACTATGTTCTTCCTACTAGTTGTAAGTGTGAGGCAGAAGTAAGGTTCTTACTTTTTTAACATATTTTTGTTTCAGATTTCATTTATGTATAAGACTGTGTTGAACTGTAATAATATAGAAGAGCTAAAGAAATCTCAGTTTGGCAAACTTAATAAGGTTGGTGGGTGTTTCCATGTCTTGAGGTGCTTTGATTTAATTTCATTTACATGTGCCTAAATCTTCCTAGGTTTCTAAAATTTATAATTTGAACAGTTACACTGTCCCTGTAATATATTGCCAAAGCAGGTCTTGAAAAGATACCTAAAACCACTCATTATTTTTAGAACTCAAAAGTTCCTTGAAAAATATTGAAAGGATTTGAGTAAGCTTATCTTTCCTGATGCACTTGGTGACTCTTTTGGCTCTGTTCAGTATCACAACAGATGCCCTCCCCTGCTTTCATTCCTTCAGCAAGAAATCTGGTTTATCTTGCATAATAAAGAAATCTGCTCTGGATGAACATGGCTCATGTTATACTTCCATATTTACTCTAATGTGCATTTCTTTGCCACCTCTGAGTCACTTGTTAGGTCAAGATTATGTACCAGGTTCTTTATCACCTCTTTGTTGTTGCCATGATGTCTTAAAGGAGTGATAGGTTTGAGAATGTGCTTACTTCCTGTTACTCTGTAAATGTTCTCATAAAAAAAACCAAACAAACCAAAAACACAAAGTTAGTGATGGTTCACAGAATATTCTGAGTCCACAAGGATCATCCAGTTCAGCTCTGGGGTTAAGTAAAACTCCATGTGAGGATTGAACCCACAGCCCTGGTGTTACTAGCACTGTGCTCTGATCAACTTTGTGTAACTTCAGATCACCCACCCTCAAGTAACAGCAGTAATTTAAGGTGTTCCTGTGGTTTTAAATTCGTGAGGCCAGTATGTTGTGGGATTTTGTCACTTTTCTCACTTTAAGTGCCCTCTTACGTCTGTCTGGAAAGAGTTGCACTGGAATTGAAGTAGTACTTACACTGTGTCTTCAAAAGAATTGAGGGGAAAAAATGGCTTCCTTATTTATGCTGTTCCCGTTGCCAGGCTGGACTTGGGAGTGGTCCAGCTACTATGGTGGACAGTTTGGGACTGATCATGCATTTGCTGCCTGCTGATGAGGAATATTCAAATTTCAAGCTGGAAAAGTGTTTGTCTTCAAGCTTGTGCAATGTGTCTACTGGCACCCTTATAGTTTTGATGTTTAAGTGTTCAATAATGCAGTCATCACTAGAAGACATAATTTCTCTGGTTTCAGCTTTTTTTCACTGTAGTGCACAGTTCATCACTATGCTGGATTTACCATACTGTGGAAAAGTTGCTCTGTGCATTTTGTTTTATTATTTCTATTTCTACTTATTTCTAGCATGCAACTAAAATTTGTAGGCATAGTAAATGTGGTTAAGAAGAAAATAACATTTTGTTGGAGGGAGTCATTATGTTTAGGGTAGCTTGACTTTAAAGAGCTTATTTTCAAATTCCCTGATTTACTTTTCTTCAGAGCTCTCTAAGCCAGGGTTATAGAAAGTCATTTCAACAAGTCTGTTTCTTTGATGAGCCACTCTTAAAAATGGCAAGTACAGGTACACTAGGGAATTACTGATAAAACCATGAGAAATCCAACTATGGCGTAACCTGTGAGTAGGAAAATTTAATCTGAGGTGAGTCAGTGAGTTATTGGTGTATGTCCTGATAAAACATGGATTAGGTTTAGTCCTTGCTGCAAAGGGGAAGTACAGGAATGGCAAGGTCTTGCTTTTAATGGTCTTATGCATCACTAGATGGCTTTCCAGACAGTCAGCTGGAAGAGTACATTTAGATGTTATTTGCCTTCAAAAAGTCAGGAGTCTTTAGCATAATCTTTCTTTCCTAGTTTCAAAGTAGCTATCACTATTAAAATTTCTATAAAGATACACTAATACCTGTATTGCTTTTCTTCCTGAGAATATCTTTTAAAGAAAACAAGAACTTCTCATTTTGCTGCCTTTTGTCCCACACTAGGCTTCCTCTTTGGTAGGAAAGCCTTGCCTGGCCTTCACATATGATCTGCACACAGTGGCTGTGTTATTTTTGCTAAGCTGTACATCTTGATTTCCTACAACCTTCATCTCTTGTCAACTTTCACAGGAGTGATGCATCAGAGGGTGGATTCTCTTTTAGCTTTATGTGGTACAGAACTGCATTTTACAGCCATAAGGGTTAATGTTTTTTAGCACAAAATCCCTTCCTCTGTGGTGCTAGAATTTATCTTTTTTGAAACTCAGGACATTGACTCTAGTGCATGCAGTTCAGGCCAAACAAAGAGAAAATTGTTTTGAGTCCCACTGTTCCGATGATATTTTTTCTACCTTTTGGTGAGTGTTGCACAGAAAATATCTCTGGTGAATGTTTAGTCGGGATTACTGCAAGTACAGGATCTTCAAATCCAAAGAATTTTAGCAAGTACAGTGGTAATCTTAGCAGCTCATTTAGGACTGTTTCTTTACCTGAGTCAATATCTTTAAAAAAATACCACAGTATAGATCCCTGAATGTAGTTTCTCTGGTTTGCTTTACAGTTTGAAACCAAAGGTGGTGCTAAAATTAAGAGGCATTTACTGCCTCTTCCCCTGCTGTGGCAGCCTGATGAGTCTCAAGGCCGGTTAGACTAATCTGGCATGCTTTGCTCTTAACAAATCCACATTTGCTGTAGTTTTCCTCTAGTTATCTTCTAGAGAATTACAAAAGATAGGTTTTGTTCACTGAGTATTGATGCTAAGCAGAGTACCTCCCAGACTTCTCCACTTTTCCTGTGTTTTGGTCTTCTGATACTTTGCTGGGCCTCTGTGTACCTCAGTGATTCTAGCCAGTACTGTCAGTACTTTAAGAGGAGATCTTCAGATTGCTTGGGTCTGGTGAAATTTGATTTACCTTTTTTGAGGAAGTGTTGTTCCTTCAGTATTCAGGCCACCTGATCACTCTATTGCTACTGTGCTAGTCATGTTAATAACTGGTCATGTTTCATATTTTTTAACAAAGATGGCTGTGAAGAAGGCAGGTAAAAATTGAAGGGTTGTTCTGGAGAAGACAATTAAAATGCTTTTTCCCAGATTGCAAATAAAATCTTCAAAATTTTTAGCTATAGTTACCATATGGGCTCCAGAGAAAGGAAGTAACTGAAATTACCAGACTCTAATCCTTAAGGATTTCGAAGATTGTAGTTAAAACTACAGTGGGAGAGGGAGCTCAATTTTCAGTATCATTCAGTTATGTTATGAATGAAATGCAAACAATTTAAAAGCATCCATGTTCGCATCTTGAATTTGTTGCTGTCACGTAGGGGTCACTTTGTTAACCATTAATGAAATGAGTCCCCAGGTGCATGTAACAAGTTGCACACATACACAGGTTACTGCAGCAGGTCAGCTTCAGAATGCCTGTCCAGACACTTGTGTGCTGAAATTGATGGATGAACAGTCAGATTTTTAAGTGCTTGCCCTGGATTTATGATTGTAGCAGTCCCCTGTGTTGCATCTCTTTCTCCTAGAGAGCATGAGGGTTGGAAGTAGCAAAGTGCTTTTGACTGAGGAAAAAAGGCTGGAAATGCAAATACCTGTTAGGCAGCACGGACCCCGATGTTTCCTGGTGTCCAGTATGGGCTGGTTCAATATATTGTCATATCCAGGACCTTTAGGAGAGATACAAGTGATTTGAGAAATTCTTTCCAATTAAAACCTCTATGTGGATTCATATGTACAAGTTGGTGCCTTTTTTTTTTCTTTTTTCCTGAGTTTTAACATTTTTTACTATTGTTATTTGGCACAGGTACTGAAAGTTAGTTACCCAGATCCTTATGAAATCAACTAGATTTAGCAACATATTCCAGTCTTTGGATTAAACCCCTGGTGTCTTCTAGTTAGGTTGGAATGAAAGTTTTTCCTAATCAGTCACTTGTTTTTATTCTAATCACTAAATAGCTAAATAAATAAATAGGTAAATAATAACTAAATAATATATTTAATCCTCTAGGGAAACTGGCTTATCTTTCAGATAAAGTGGAATAGTTCCTTATGCAAGAATGAAGTCATTAGCTTTTGTATCATTTTCAGAGCAGAAGGCAAGTTAATATACAGTGAAAATACGCATTTCTTGGGTTTTTACTAGATTTAAGAGATCTCAGGTTTCTACACAGATTTATTAGACTTCCAGCTGTAGAGAGACTTCTTGTACTGCTTTGCTTAGTGCCTTGTCTGTAGTGGATTTTCACCACTGTTGTAGCTGTGCAGAGAGAGCCCCCACTGTAGACAAAAATGAAGGAGCTTTGAGGCGTGAATGGGTCCTATTCATTTCCATAATGGAGTTCTAACAATAAAATCTGGCAAACATAGATTGTTTTAGTAGGAAACAGCCCTTTATTCTGGCATCTTGGCAGGGCTTGGGTAGAGTCCCACCATTCTTTTCCCCTCTGGCCCTTGCTTTCAGTGTCTTGACTGAGCCTGTTTTTTCTCTTGAGGGACTTCTGTTTTTATTAATGTGTTTTTGTACAGTGTATTTAATGAAAGATGCTACTCTGGGCATCGTGGATGTTGAAGTTTTGTGTGAATTTCTCCAGTGCATATGCTGAGCAAGCATTGTGAGTCAGTCTGTAGCAGATCACCTCTGTCTCTAGACAGCAGACAGGGGTCCCATTTTAATGCTGGTTCATTGGCAGATAGAATTTCCGTTTACTAATACAGCAAGTGCTATTCTAGACACTTAACAATTACTTTTTCCATGACACAAGCTGTGGTTTATGATGTGACTCTAGGGTTAGATGAACAAACATTTTGTGGAATTGACTCAAATTGCAGCAGGATCAGAAGTTGAAGTGAATGAAAACCCCAAGTCAGTTAGTCACCTTTGATCATATATTTTTTTTTGCTGTGTTTGTAATCAGTGAATTGAAACTGTTTTCCCTTTGATTATTTGAGCCCTTAACTAACAGTATCATTCTTGGAGTCCCCAACTCAGACAAATAACATAGCAGATTTTATAATTTTCTGCTGTATCAGGTAAATCTATATATCCACTGGACAGGATTAAATATATTTTTGCCCCCTGAGATAGATATCAGCCTTGAGAGTACACTGAAATTCTTGCTGCATGTGAGAGGAAATAGATGCATATTGGTATATAAGTATACACCCCAAAATAGACAATGAAATATATATACTTACTTTTTCATTTCCCTCATTCTTGTGCTGAAATGTGATGATTGCTACCAGAAATTAAATATCTGCTTTTACGTTCAGCTTCAAGTTCTTTGAATTGTGCTAGGGCATACATCTGCTCCTTGGAGCTGGCCAAACAGTGGAGTGGTGAAGTTGACCCAGTTGCTTCAGTGGTGTCTGCACAATAACTGAATGAAGAATAAGTGTTCCTCAGTTCTCATGGTGTTACGTAGTTCATGTTACAAACTACTGCAAGGATGTTATCTTTGTAACAGGCAGGTAAAACCCTTCTATGCTTCATTGGTGTTTAGATGACACTTTCATAACTGTTCAGACTAGAAATTTCTTTTTGTTTAGACTACATGTATTGTTTATGTATAAGTGGTTTGGATCCTTACAGTACAGATTAGAAGGTGAATTAAATGTTTCTTAGTGGTATTTCAAAGTGTGGTAAGCCCATCTCATTCACTTATGTAGGTGGGTGTCAATATTTACATTCTTCTGCAGAAAAATCCTAGAATTAGATAGTGCTATATTTCTACTTTAGAAGCTCAGAGCTTCTGTAAGATTCTTCCAATTCCCAGAAGTATTCAGAAGCTGAAAGGAGATGAAATTAATGAGAATATGCATTCTCCTTTCTGACAGATGGAATATGTGTTGTTCTGAATCCCATTTTTGTTTTTGATCACATACACTCATTGGCAATCAATTACTGTATATTGGTCTGCATAGTGTATTCCTCAGAGTCTGGCTGACCTGTTAATCTCATTTCAAGGTTGTTGGACAGCCTTCAAAAAAAAAAAAGTGAATTACAAATGTCTTCACAACTTCCTAGTCTCACCATCGTCTTTTCCTTTGGCCACGTGCATAGTTCTGACTTTGAAATCTGTGTGTGATAGCTGTACCTTGGGAAAGATATAGAAGTGTTTCCATGTTAATAGAAGACTCCAGGCTTCCTGATGATTTCACCTAAGATTCACATAGCAGCTATTTTTATCATTTGCTTTCACACTTGTGAATGCTCCAATATCCCTATCCTTTGGCAAGGAGATTGCTAAATGGCTTGTTTTGTCTGTATCCAACAGTCGGGAGCCGTTCTTTTCCAGGATTTTGCCTTAATCCTACGTCTCATGGGCATTCACTTTTCTGCTTACCAGCATTGCTTTTTACATGAAAAACAGCAAAAAAATATGGGGAGGTACAAACTTTTAACAACAGAACCACGTTATGCTATCCTTCGTAAATATAATCTTTTTATAGCCACATCAAAGTTTCTTTCAAAGGTGGTCTTTGACTTCTTCTTGAATTGGGTTATCCATTTGCAAATATTTTTCTTGAAATCACATACTTGCCAAGATGTGGAAAGACTTTACTTAATAGGCATCCATAGGGTGCTTTCCGTTTGCATGGAAGAACAAAACAGTTTCAAACATTTCAAAGCCTCTTTGTTGCTTATGTAAAGGGAATGAGGGGTCCAGCCCTCTGAATTCCTGACTGAATCTCATTTTGCATCTCTGCTGGCAACAAATTAGCCCATGTAATTTCTGCAGTCAAGTTCACATTCTGCTCCTCACACAGTTCTACTGGAGTGTTTTGTTGGTTTTTTTTTTTTTTACGATATCTACATTTTAGATCTTTGCAGAGTTAAAGCAGTGTCAGCGCTCTGACTCTTGTTCGTCAAGCATTAAGCCAGGTCACAACAGCCAGAGGTGCTGTCACTCCCTTCAGAGGGACGTTTTCACAGCAGCATTGTAAATCTCCAGTATTCAAAATACTTGCCAGTACCCAAAGAAAATGGAATATTGTACCTCTCTGGGATACTAAGAGTAAAAACACTTGGCTTTTTTTACACTGATATACTCCGTGGGGTGCATCCAAACTGAGAGCTGGTGATTTCCCTGGCATTCTGTGGGCCAGTTTGAATAATACAGGTAAGTTAGCAAGGAACATCTCTTTAGGACAAGCAGAGCAGTGACTGTCACACACAAACTAGGGAACTTTTCCTTTGATATTTCTGGGCTCAAGCTGTCTGATAAGCAAGTCACAGTTTGCTGTCACCATTCTCATCTCACTTGGCTATATCCTCTTGATCTGAGCACAAATGTACACTTGTGTTTGTCCCCCTAATCCATTGCTCATCTGTCATTTGTCCTTTCTGTGGAAATAGCCCAGCCTGGTGATTTCAGGACCAGCCTGCACTGGTAACAGTTTAAATGTAGTCTGTGAGTATTGTCTAGCTCCAGAAAAGGTTTTCTAAATTCTCTAGAAGTCCCTTATATGAGTGTGATTATTATGTCTAAAATATTTAAATTCATAGAATTCTCTCCAGCATAGACAAGGACAACCAGCTGTAGTTTTTTTTGTTCATGTGTGCATCATTAGGGAATTTACTGGGATTTCCACATTCTAAGGCCTCTGAACATCCATCAGGTGGTTTTAAAACTTTTCTGTTCACCTGAGGTGAATTTCATGCTGTGACCACAAGGTGAAAGTTTTTTGAACAGCTGTGTTAATTTTGGACCTGTGTGAAACAAAGCCAACTTTTCCTTGCTACAGGAAATTGCCAAATAAAATAATGGAGAGGAAATGAACTACTCTTTGAGTTTCTAGGACAATATTCTGAAGAAACATAGTAATTCCAAACAAAAAGTATTTTTAAAAAACATCCCTCTAAGATGTAAGTTGATATTCTTTGTTTATATCCCATAGGGCAATCTTAGTAGCAAGCTGACTCCTCACTTGGAGAAAATATATATAAAAAATACAATAAAATCTCTTTCAGCTAGAGGTCAGAGAAAGAGTAAGAACAATCAGATAGTTTAAAGAGATTTGGATACTACTGTGATCAAAAACAAAACTTCTCTAATTTCTCTGTAATGGCAGTATTTAGTTATGGGGGCATTCTTTAGCCTTCTGTTTTGTTTTGTTTCACGATTGTTAGAGTTTTGGTACTTAGAATAATATAACACATTAAAATCACAGTAACCTTTCATATATCAAATTGTCTATAATTTAGAAATATATTACACTTTTCACTGCATTTTGACAGTTCCACATATATCTTGTAGCAAAATAAATGCTAATTGTTTACTTGTTGCTATTACATTTATTCTGTTCAGCAATGTACATTTCTAAATGTGGGCATGTACCAGCTTACAAGTGTTAAATGTTAACTTGGATTTCCCATCTTTCAGCAACGTGGAATGGTTTTTCAAAGCTTGTCAGTGTTCAGCTGCAATCAGTGAAAAGGCCTCAATTCTTAAATTTTTGTTGAATGCAGGTAGAAGGACTTTAATCTTGAAATGACACTAGATCTAATCTATCTAAATAATAAATAAATAATATAATAAATAATTCTGATTCCTTTTCCATCCTCTTTGGTCATCTCACTTTTACTTTAAACACACCTATGTAAGATTACGGGCTCAGAAGACTAGAACAGACCCTGTTTGGGGTGATCTGGTGCTTCCCCTGTCTTAAAAGAAAAATTAAGTGCCCTTACATCTTTATCAACATATATCTATATATATCTATATATTGGGGGTTGGGTTTTTTTTTTTAATAAAATACCTCTCTAAGCACTCTTCTGAAATGCTGTCTTTTTCTTACTCTTGGAAACTTTACATCTGATCTGAATATTTCTTACTTCATATTAAGCTCATTGTTTAACACCTTTTACTTTTACAGTCTTCCTTGGACTAAAAACAATTCAGGCTTTCCTCTGTTATCTTTTTTGTTCAGGTCACTCATTGGACTTGGTTAAACTTCTGTGGCCTCTTTCTACTACTCTTGAAATACAGGACCTAAAACTATCCAACTTCTGCGGCTTGAGGCCATCCTCATCCTGAGTAAAACGAGTAAATTGTTTTCTGTCTCTTGGATTTTCATCCTATTCATATATTCCTGTGCAATTTTTGGTGTAGTTCATAAATGTGGTGGTTTTGCAGCTACATGATACTGATTCATGCTCACCTTTTGAAATATTACAAACTTCAGACCCTGTTCTGTAGTTGTTGCCTGGACAGCTGTTCTCCTTCCTGTGTTTGTGTGATTGAGTAGACTTTTCTGTATGAATCTGTGTACTTTTGCCTGGTAAATAGCATTCTGTTTTTTCAGACCATTTCTTGGCTTTGTCAAGATTGTTTTGAGCCCTTATCATCCTTCCAACCTTGTTTTGTCTGCAGATGTAACGAATACTCCATTTCATCATCTAGATTAAACCATCATCTAGATCAAAACCCCAACCACTGTAAGCCATCAAGAAGTGCTGTTTTCAGGATTTTTTTTCTCTCCAGTTTCATCTCCAGCATACAATATTGTATTTGAGGTGCTATTTCTCTAGCTTGTTGGAAACTGAGATAGTATTGGAACTTAATGAAAATCAGAATATAACCTTTAGTGTTTCTTCTCTATTCTAGCATCTCTTGTACTAGAGGCTATCAGAGTTTTTGTGGGGCATTAGTTCTTGAGAAATACTGCTGTCTTCTGTTATTCCTGTAATTTCTTTGAAGTTTCTTATTTGGTCCTGTATTTTTCCAGGAAGTGAAGTTGAGCTGACTGATCCAGAGTAACTCCTTGAGGTGGCAGAGTGGAACCCAAGGTTCTCTGTGACCTCTCTGGCCCAGTGCTTCCATGCCAGTGTGCTTTGAGGGGCTGCATATGGATCAGAAAGAAGCCAGACCTGGTGGATGCCTTGAGGAGCTGTTTCCAAGAGGCACCTGTGCCTGAAAACTTCAGTTGTTGCTGGTTCAATCACACTGTTCAGTGAACAGTAAACTACTTTTTATATGGATTTGTATCTTAGGGGTGTTCTTCACAGTGTAACAAAGGTTGTCCTGCTTCTCCCTCTCCTTTTCTCTGGTGCCACCTCTTCCAAGAAATGCCCGCAGTTCTGGAAGTGTCAAATTTTCAGTTTTTGAGCATCAAGTGCATCATCTGATGGTTTTGGAAGCAGCATGTACTGATCTGACCTTACCTTTCTGCCTTGCCTGTCTGGCCAGAATGTTCCTGCTGATAGTTCAGTCTTAGCTCCTGCTGCAGATTCCTGTCAGTGAGGCACTGATTACCTTCCTCATGTGGTAATTCTTAAAAAATACTGTTATAAATTCTTAGCTGTTCACCTACCCTGGGTGAAACAGATTGATAAGACCTGCAGTTAATGTGTGTGGGTATAGTTTGACTGAAGAAACTTTATTGCCCCAGCTTTGAAAAGGCAAGTGTCAAGGTTGCATCAGGCAGCATCTGAGGCCATTAATTGCAGTTCTGTGCACGCCTTTGAAACCCAGGAGGTGCAAAAGTAGTGAGTGCTTCAGTGTGCATTGGACCTGCTCTGTAGCTGGATTATGGCTCAGCTTTGAACAGGAGCTCTAACATGCTGTCCTTCAAGCTGATGTGGAGAACATAAGGAGATGTAGGAGCACTGCACAAAAAACAAAACCCACCATGCTGTGTCCTTGCTAAGGAAGGCACTGTGGTTTGGGGTTAGATTGGTGACCGCCGTTGGCTGCATGCAGAGCCAGCGCTCGGTTCCTTCACCAGCTCTGCACAAATGTCAGCACAGGTTCTTGTCCCAGGCCTCTGCAGAGAGCCAGAGCCAACTCTCCTGAGGCAGGAGGCTGCCGGCTGCCTCCAGGTCCCTACCCAGAGCTTCTATCCCCTGTTTGCTCCTTACGGGTGGGAAGGGTCCGTGGCTGCCTCAGGTCCAGAGGAACCTTGTGGTGTGTGGCAGGCTGCTGTAGATAATGCTGGGCTCTGTCAGTGCAGCTGTCATTAGCACCCCGAGTGGCACGTGGGGCTCATAAAGCAAATGAGAGAATCCACTTGCGGGATGCAGCGAGCCACATGAAAGGAGCCATTCGCTGAGTCATCTCTAGCAAGGCAGCGTGAGAGGGCAGCCTAAGCCAGCCGCAGTTACGCTGACTTCTTTTGCTAGCCCTAGAGGGCAGAGTTAAATTTATAGGGTGGGGTTAGTATGTGCTGTAAATGTTCCTCCTTTAAATGTGGTTCTCATTTGAAATATAAATATTAAAGTCCTACTGAAGTTTGAGTGCATTTGACATTCAAGAAAGGGATACTAAGCAGTGCCGTTTAAATCTTAATTTAGTTCAGTTTCTGGGCAACGAGTTAATCTTTTCTCAGAAGCTATTTATCTGAAAACTTGCTCTGGTATAAATATGTTTCTTTCTAATTTAATGTTAGATCTTTAATCTCTCATTTTAAGAATTAAGCATGTTGAAATAGCATTTGTACCAGATGAATTTGACATATTGAATTATCAGATCAAAAGAAACATGTTTAAAAGTTTCTACAGCAAGTTTGCAGAGAAGTAATTGCATTAAAAACAATAAATGAAACAAAGTATGCAATACATACACTGCTCCTAAGTTTCCCTTTTCCTTCATTTTTTTTCCTTTCTGTAACAACATTAATACTTAAATTGTCCCAATTAGGCTTTAAAATTTATGCTTTAGCTAGTAAAATCTGACTCGTTTGGCTTCCCTTCATTTTGCTGCTTAATAACTGTCTCAAGACAGGTTTTGCTAAGCCAGTGTTAACAGACGAGCATATTATTTTAGCAACCAGAGCTTTGAAGTTGCAAAGTATTAATAAGGAAAATAAAAAAATTGTAGACAGATGCAAAAGATGCAGTAGTTGGTGACTTTTGTCAGTCAAAGAATTTCTTTTGTCTCTGAGGTTGGAACAAGTTTTTGGTTGTGTTGTTTTGGTTTTATTTTTCTTCCCTTTTTGATCCCTGTTGAGAGGATCTTCATGTTTGAAATTTCAAATTTTCCAATTTTTTTTATATGCATGTCTGTATTTGCTTATGCTGCTCTTTCTTCCCTTTGGCTTCCGCGTTTTCTTTTCGTCTGGCAAATTTGAACTTGCTTCAGCTTGGGACAGCTGGGGCAAAATGAATCCCCACAAATAAAATTATAACAAGAAGAGCAAAGTCTGTGAATGATCCTTTGCTGTTTCCTGAGTCGTTCCAGTGTCATTAATCAGTGCTGGTGCTGTGGAGGCTTGTGGTGTGTTATGTCGCCAGCACAGCAGCTTCTCCGTCCCTTTCCCCCACCCCCTGCGTGCCTACACAGTGGGGAAAACTAGAGAGGGAAGCCATCAATCTTCCCTGTCCTACATGTCAGCAGTGATTCTCCTGTCGACTTCCTGCTCTCTCTGCCGTGCCCACCACCTGTGTTTAGAATTAGCTCTGATGCTGCAGATCTCACTTGGCTCTTCACCTGTTCTGCCCCGAGTAAATGGCTGTTAAAATAAAGCAGAGCAGCTAAATGCTATAGCATGTGAATAGTAACCACCTCTGTGGCTTGGGGGGTGATTTCTGTTGCAGCTGCTCTTGTAGTACTGTGACTGTTTTCTGTAACATTTGGGTTTGGGTCTAAAATCTCTTGCTTTTGTTCCAGCTCAGGGTGAGTTCGTGAGTCAGTCTCCTTATTATTTAGAAATTAAAATATTTATAAGATTTATTATAGATGGAATCATAAACCTATCTTTAATCTGTTGGGCTGCTGGGATAATCATGAGCAAAGTCCAAAGAAGCTGGTTAGTCCAAAGCTTTGTCCTTACCTTCAGTCACGCCAAGGATATAATTAGCAAAAGCCTCCTTGAAATTTGATTTTGAAGATGTATCTGTCTCCCCATGACTGGATAGACTGAGAAGCTGACAGGCACCACCTCTGTACTTCTAGAGCAAGATTAATGTGATCATTTAATGGTTTGTTGTGTTAAACAATAGGTCTTAGTTGGGCTCTAACCAGCCACAATTTTATGTATACTTTTATGTAATTTTATAACATGCCTATGCCAAAATAAAAGGCGAGAGTGATCCTGAGAATTGTTTGTCTACTGGCAGCTTTCTCCCAGCTCCTTGAATGGGTGCTACGTCTCTCTGATTTTAAAACCCGAGAGAGATGAAAGCATAGGCATAATGTTACCTTATAATTGTAGCCTGTCTGCTGTCATTTCAAGTGTGTGATGGCAATATTTATGTGGAGTTGTAAAGAAGAGAGATTCTGAGAACTTAAGTCTTGTGAATGCTTTCACTTGATTTTATTTCTGTAACTCTTTGTAAAGGGGCAGCTGTTTTACGACTGATTTTACTACGTATTGAGATACAGTTTTTTCTTGACTGTACCACACAAATATGTATATTCAACAGGTAATTAAATTCTTGTGTTCAGCAGTCACAGAATTCATAAAGCTAAACGTGAAATATATAACCAAGATACCAAGAATTTGCTGTAATATGGGATGCTTGGATCTGCATGGATCTTTTCCTTTATCAGCTTTGGTGTGTCTTCCAGTTCTGACACAGCTATCTCATGAGAGGGAATGATTGTGGTTTTGACTGCTGAATTGAGGCCTTGACATTGGGAGCTCTTCTTCCATAGAGAGAAAAGCTCTGTTTTGATCCAAGAGAGGAGAATTGGACTTTTGGAAGCTGTCATCTTTCCAGTTTGGCATTGAAAATGGATATGGCCCTGCTGCAGAATAGCAGGACCAGACTTTAGCCATCCTCCTCTGGGATAAGGATGTAATGCTTATTCCTGATAATTTGAGAGCATTTTTATGTTGATATATTTTCAGTATAAGGAGTGGCAGTTGTTTATCTCATGACAAAAGGGAGGTTAGGTGAAAGAACCCCTAAATCTTAATGGCTTTGGGGCCAATCCTCATTCGGTAACGCAACTGAGAAATGCACTATGATGTTTAGAATTGCCATGCAGAGATCTTTTAGAGAGAAAACAAATAGTAGATGCTAAGTCATCTGTCAGGTACTGCCAGGCGTGAGGATTAACGTGCAGCACTACTGATGTAGGTGAACACACCACACAGAGTTAAACATACGAACAGCAGGCTCACACTGTGCTTACTACAGATGTCTGAATGAGTGAGTGCCTGTGGGCTGGAGCTGCATGTCTTGTGGCTTTCACTCTGCTCCATTGGGAAGTCTTCACTCCTTTTGTTTTTATCCTTTTCCAGCTCCAGTACTTTGGAGCACACAGCTCCCATCCCCTGACCTAAGAGCTCCATTGAAGTGCATTCCAGGCCCATGATTTCATGGTACCAGGCAGAAGTCTCCTGCCACGCTGCTATGCTGCCCGCTGCTTCTCACGGAGTGAACAAACAGGGAACATAAACTCTCTCCAAAGGAGCAATGTTCTCTGTATATTTTTAGTGCAAGAAATCCAAGATTCATTTGAGAGTGTTTTGTGTGGGCTTTTTTTAATATAGACTTCTGCTAACACAATGGAATATTTCATGCCACCCTGTTTGCTGTAACTTCTCATGCTTTATGTTGTTAAATGGAATCAAAGGAGTTAAAGATGAAAGACTTCTAGTCAACTGGTCCCTCAGCTGGGAGCCAGTATGGGTTTGTTCTTTGTAATGGATTTGCTAATGCTTTACTCAGGTTCAGCCTAGCTCAGTTTTCATTATTGGATTTACTTTTTTCTGTGAATTCTCTACTTCAGGTTAAGTAATTGCTGAGTTCAGAATGAATATAATACTGCTACTGTTTGTTGCTAACGTTTCACTTGCTATTTATTGCCCTTATACTCAACAAACCTTTTGTAAGTATTTGTTTACCATTTGAACATACAAAGCACCATTAAAGATGTCAAGCTTGCCTTCACAGGTATTCTCTTTAATGGATAGAAAACTTGGTTCTTTCTTTATATGAAACTGTGTCCATTTGACATTGTACATTGTGTGTTTTCTTTTCAACATGTAGTGTGTCACCAGATGCTAACTTACATAGTATTACAACAAACCTACCTTTCATTAGCTCATTGTTAGCCTTTGAATATTTGGAGTTAGTACAGTATTAGAACATGCAGTTTATGCTGAGACACTGATGTCTTGTATTTTCTTGGTGAAAGACCTTCTCAAACTGCCTGTTTAAATGTCACTATTGCATTTTTATGTATTGAGTGTATTATATTCACATTAGGGGACACAAATTTGCCAATACATCCAATATGTTCATAGTAACATTATCCACAGACTGGACAGTGATCTGAGAAGTTGAAAAGGCAGATAATGAACATGTTATGGGAAACATGGGAAGCAAGGACTGCAGCTGCAAGGAATCAGAGTCTGCCCAACTTGGGGACCAGCAAAGTTTCTAGACAGACCTGTTCTCCTCAGGGTGTCAGCAGTTTTTGAGTCAAGGTATTGGCACATGAGCTGACCTGTGCTGACTGCACAGAAATTTCTATGCCTTGGTATAACACACAGTTATCCCAGAGCTGCTCCTGCACTGAAGTAGCATCAGCTTCATGTGGGAAATACTACTTCCCAGGGAAAAGTAACATCAGGAGACATGTCAGGTGATGCTGTTTTTTACTAGACTGAAGTTGGAAGATGTGCAAGTTTCTGCACTATGCTTTAACTTGGTCATCCTAACATACTTTGATGTGGGTCCTTAGTGGATTTTTGTCACATGATAAAGTTCTTAGCTTTTATAACTGTGCAGGTAGAAAACAAATTTTACATAAAGTTACTGGAGTTAAGGCAGTAATAGCTTAATTAGAAATTAGTTTGAAGTATGGTTTGTGAAGAGTGTTGTTAAACAGGCATTTAAATGGGTATCAGAAAGCAAGCCCATATGCCACCAAGTACTGTGGGGAGAAGTAATGAGAAGGAGCATCAGGGTTTGAGCTTAGTGAGGGGAGACATGGACATGAAAAAGGGTTATGTGCTCTGATAAACTGTTCTGGGATCCCAGAAGGGGTAGAACACCATGTTAGTGGTCAACTATTTCCTTCCTGACTTTTTATTGTCTTGGTTAAGAAACATAGGAAGGAAAAGACAAATGTTATGCCTGTTAAGTACCTGTTGCATTGCCTAGCAGCTGCTCTGGGCCTCTAGTAATAGAAGTACAGCTCTGAAGTCCAGCAAATCCCAGGTTTCTATATGACTTCATCTAATTTCTACACATTGGAATGTTGAATGCCTCCTTCTCTAAGAGAACACCTGGCCCTTCTTGTTGTTAACAGGAATCTGGCTGTGGTCCTGGGCCAGGTAGTGGGAGGTGAGTGGATTCTGTGAGTGGTGAGAAATGCTCTGATGTAGGTTCCTAGGAAAACAAGGAATCAAATGCCAAGTGAGAGACTGAGTATCATAACTCCATTTTTGTGTAATGAAGAAAAGGGGCACATGGGTGGCAAAAGATTGGAATTCAAGGACTGGAAGCCAGAATTGCTGTTGGAAGAAGTGGTGTGCTATTCATTGCTTCAAGCACCTTGAAGCTCCTGTGCTGGATGTTCTCCAAGAGCACTTAGAAACTGACTCAAGAATATACTAGAAGTCAAGAAGATATTTGGGATGGGTTGAAGGGGTTGCCATCAAGACTTAAATGTGTAGGCATTTATGTGAGCAGGAGAAATTAGCATGGCAGCCAGCCCAAAGCTTCTCTCGTCTGTCAGCACAAACACTTAAACATTGGGTAAGAAAATTGTCTTGATCTGAAACACAAGTTTACTTTAAAGAAAAGAGAATTTTTCAGCAAATTTAGAAATAAATAGTCTAGGCCTTTATGACCTATAGATCATGTTTAAAAGTAAAGAAGTCCTATTCCATTTAGAAACACTTTCTCATTAATTTTTCTCAAGTCTGAGTCAAAATTAACTGAGTCAATTTGAAGTCCTTTTTTTAATAGTTAAAAGTAATGGTACTTGGCCTTGACTTTTACTACCATTTTGTGTGGTTTAATAGTTGTATGACTTTTTTTTTCCCCACACACATTTGTAAGAGATTCACAGAAAAGAAAACAGACTACATCAGTAAATAAATTCTTCCTGCTAAGTTATAGAAGTTGCTCATAAAAGTTAGCAGGAAAAAAATCATGCAGCCACAGGCATAATGAAGTTGATGATCCTGCCACACAGCTGAGTCTGAGGATTTGTATTGTACAGCTTGCTGTGGTGGGGGGGACCCTAATTTATAAGTTGAGCGGTCTTGCATGCTCTTACAACTTGGCATGTAACAGGCATTTTCACATAAAACATTGCTGAGCTACTTCTGAGTATGGTGGAATTCTTTGGGAAGGGCAGGGAGGTAATTGATCATATGCTGACAGCTCGGGACTCTGAGAAAATGGTCAGATGGAGGGCTGGGATGCAGGAAAACAAACTTTCTAAGATGGTAACTGTCACTTAGCCAAGCTATACATGCTTCAAGCTTTTTAATCTTTGCTCTCAACCTCAGCTTCTTAGTCTTTTTTTGTTTTTGTTGTTTCTCTGTGAACACTTTTCCATTGTTGACATTTTACTGCTCCTGATGCATGAACAGTATTCCAGGTGTGATCTTGAGCTATATCCATATTTCTTTGTAGGTCTCTTTTAGAAATTCTATTGCTGCCAAAATAGGGAGTTTCAGAACTTTGATGGTCCCTTTCATTATTCTTTGACCTTTGGGTCAAGAAGTAGTTTTCTTTCAGGAACTGCTCAAAATGTTCTTTGCAGCTAGAAAAATAAGACTTCAATGTTCATGGGACTTAAGATAGAAATCTACTGGGACATTGCATGAGTTTACTGCAAAGATGTTTGAATTTCTCTACGCTGTGATCTTAAGTTTCTATATCAGAGTGGATATAGAAACTGAAGTGTGGGTATAGAAACTAGAGAGAAACATACAGCTTTGGTGCAAAAGAAGATGAAAAGAATCTACCATTTGGTTTCTGAGACCAACTTTTTGCCAGTCTTGTTTATGGCTGTATTTTTTTGCATATGCAGTCTGACAGCTTTAAATTATGGTAGTTGTCAGTCTCTCTGCTATAAGGTAGAGTATTTTAACTGACTTACTGCAATTATTGGTTCTGAGGTCATTTATATATTAATACACTGACAGGAGGAGAGAAGAGACAGGCATAAATGAAGCTTTATAAATGACTTTAAAATATAAAAGAATCTGGGGAAAAAAAAAAAGAAGTGTGTGTTAATTTTGCCAATGCTTTGTCATAGAACATGGCAGTGGATCGGATTTTCTCTGGTATCCAGCCAACTGGGACCCCTCATCTGGGTAACTACCTTGGAGCCATTCAGAACTGGGTGAATCTGCAGGAAAAGTGCAGCTCAGTGCTCTATAGCATTATGGACATGCACTCTCTCACCATGCCCAAGGAGCCAGCTGTCCTGCGCCAGAACATCCTGGACACCACTGCTGCCATCCTTGCCTGTGGGATTGACCCAAAGAAGTGTTTCCTGTTTAGGCAGTCACTGGTGAGTGCTCCTGTTGTGTTGGATTTGTTTCTGATTAAGTGTATTTCCACACATCTTAATGAATGAGCGTAGCATTGCTGAACTCCTTTATCATGTTTGTGTTGGTGGTCCTAGAAGATGTTACCAGTGTCGGATTTTAAACTTATGCCTCGCTTTTGAAATTTTTTGAAATTTGTTGTGAAATTCTGAAGGCTGCAACTATGACTGAGAAGCCCATTTAGGGATAAGTACACTGTAAATTTCTGAAGCAGAGTTAGGAGTTTATGCAGGTTATGAGTGAAATACTTCAAAGACCTCTTTATAAGTCTTACTTTAGTCATAAAAGGTCAACCAATAAATGCATAAATGTGGCCTGTGTAACCATAAAGGTAAGGAAAACACATTTCTATGCTTTTGTATCAGCTCTTTCCACTTGTTCTGCCAGCAGCACAGTAATCACAAAGTAACAGGTGATTAACATAGTAAGTTTTGTATCAGTTCCATTGTGTTCATCAGGGGGTTACATATTCTCTGGGACTTATTTTCCCTTCTTTTCTATAACCTCCTTTTCATGTGCATGCATTTCCATCTGATCTGGTAATTCGTATGTAAACCATGTGCTTCTCTTGACTACCCTGAGGGGGTACCGGGCTTGCCTTCCCACCTGGCATATAGCTATCACATGTTATATTTATCTGGAACACAACTTTATTTCTTGCTCCATGAACTTTCTGCTATTGACTCTAAACTGGCAAACTTCTGTAATTTCCACAGACACAGATGTGTCATAGCTTCTGCTCCTGTGAAGACACCCATAAGTGGATGTCCACCTTGCAACAGAACTGCAAAGGTGATGTGCACACAGGATCTGAATTTTATCTGTGCAAGCTGAAATTGTGTTGCATTCTCCCTTTCAACACAATTCTTTACAGGCAGAGTTTCCTGGGGTTGTTAAACTGCAAATGGCAATCATAGCTCTATATCCCTGGTGAATAATGAATTGATGAAGACAGATATACTTCCTGCTTCACTTTTCCTCTGTGTTAAAAAACCAGTCTAAATAGATGAGCTCAGAATTCTGGTGGAAATATATTTAAATAAATTCACCCCATTTTTTTTCAAATCTGTTTATCATTTTAAATATGTTACCAGCTTGGGTTTTAATTCTCCTCTTCTCTGACTTGTCAGCCTCCAAATGGTGAAGTCATTAGCTGGAATAATTGCAAAGTGAGTTACAAGTCAGTGATGCAGTAAAAACCAGTCTAGAGGGGTTTTTTTCTTATTTTCAAGCAACTGAACAATTCAATTAGTTACAACACAGGATCAGTGACTAGATACAGAGAGGACTCTTCAGCACGAAGGATAAATGCTTTGCAAGTTATGGTTACAGAGGAATAAAGATACAGAGGAATGAAGGTTTATAAAACTGCAAGTGATATGGAGAAATTGTTTTATCCACTGAAGAATGTAAACTGACAAATATCAAAACAAGTTAACACCTGGAAGATTCAACACAAGCAAAACAATGCTGCATTTAAAAAAAAATCCACAACTGGGCTACAAAACCCCTTGACACAGGATACAGTGCGTGCTGAAATTTATACAAATTCAGAAAGGGACTCAACGAATTAATCTGAAAAATTGCTTTGGGACTGTTGCATATCTGAGCAGCCACCTCTACAGGAAGTGGTGAAACCACAGATGGGAGAGTATCCATGCTTTTCTGCACTTACATTCTTTTTTTCTTTGGTTGCTGTCAGAGGTGGATATTTGATCTGGTCCAGTGTTGCTTTTCTTATGTTTCTGCTGGTCTAAAAGCTAAACTAGTGCTGTTCCAGGTCTTGCTAAAACCAACACTCAGGCTTCCCTTGAAGCCAGCAGATATCAGTGAGGATCTTACATTGCATTCAGCCACAGAAAGTATGTTATATTTTTCACAATGTAATGCAGAGATGAAATCTTGAACTCCTAAAGAAAAAGTGTCAGACTCAGGAAATGATGGCTTTGTGTGCGGTGCTTCTACAGTACCAATACAGTCAAAAACAACCTAAAGATAACTAAAGAAGTTATCTAAGAAGTTATTACTAAAGAACTAACTTAGAAAACCTAAGATAACTAAATTTGAACATGTTCAGTTTTATCAAACAAAAACTTCCACCAAATACATTCTGATTTTCCTTATGGTGGTTAGGCTGGCCTCAGTTAAATGGTCTGCCTTTTTACCTTAATTTTTCTGTGTCCTTATCTGTCCAGATCTAATGTCATCATTTTTATTAAATCTAAACCATTAGATTAAATGTTTGAGCTGTGTCTGATGTCTTGAATGTTATTCTTACCAATACTTACCACACAAGTATCCATGCAACTTTCAGAACTGGCTGATTATAGGATATTTTTGAAAGCTCATTGTCACCCTGCAATCAGAAGAACTATCACAGTTGTGTGTGAATGTAGATTGTTTCAGCACTGGTTCAGGCTGAAGGGGTTTGTCAGCTTCCCCAAACCTAGTCTGTACAAGCTGTATGAAGTGGTCAGGTATACCCAGAGATGCACTATGATCTGTTACATTTACATAGGCAGCACCAGATGTTTCTCTGGAAGCAATTAAAAGGAGTATCTGCGTGTAGCTCTTGATGTGAGGAAAGGAGACAGGAACCTTGCTAATGTGATTATTGTTTTAGTATGATAATGAAATAGTACATTATGGAATGTCATAATACCGAGATGATTCTTCCTTAAAATGAAGGTGTAAGATGGATTGCAGCTATTGCTAATCAAGAAAGTTTATTGCTTGATTTTGCTTGGAAATTTCTCAGATTTCAAAAAAAAAAAAAAAAAAGAGCTGGCCTCCTTTTCAGCCACTGTAGCAGTCTCCAAGGGTGGTCTAAAAATGCCCCACTTTTGTGTACAAACATTTGCCTGAGGTGTAAAGCAAAGTGACCAGAACTGATTGTATACTGAAATAGGGTGTGTACTTCCAGCGGTCAGCAGGAAAGCAGTGAAAATCCAGCCACAAAGAAAGAACTGGATTAGGTATTTAGTTATGGACAGAGTAAGTTTTTTTTCAATAGCAGATGAAACTGCTAAATGAGAGAATTCTCAGTAGCTTAGCATGCTGCAATTATTGTTTTATTTTGAGCTCTACCTAGAAAATTACCAAATCTGTAGATCAGAAATGTTTCTTTAATTACTTCTGAATGATATTTCTGTTCATTTTTTTTAAACAAACATCATGCAACAAAATTGCTGTTTATGAACTTTTAGTTTTAATCACCAAAACCCAGCACAACTAATGACTTTTTCTGTACCCTGGTTCTGTAGCAGTAAGGCAGAATGAAATTCTTGCACTACAGAAGTATGGTAGTAATGGTAAGCCCCACTAAGGGAACTGCTCATGCAGTCATTCAAGTAAATGCTATTGTGTCCTCTCACTTTCTCTGGATTACACTGGGCAAGAGTGGTCTAGAATTGCTGAAAAAGGGTTTATTTTTGTCGTGAGGTTTTTTTGTTTTGTGTGTTTTTGTTCTTTATTTGTTTGTTTGGCTTACTATTTCCGTATTTTGCTGCTTGTGTTGCTTCTCTGGAATATGTTTGCCATATGTGAAAAAAAATAATGCTACTTTATTTCTCAAAAGGCCTGTGCCTTTTGGTAAGAGTTTCACTTATTTTGCTTTCTTAGGCTTTTTTTCAAACCCCTAATCCAGAGATATCTGAAATACCTGCCTTCAGAGTTTTCACACACTTTATCATCCTTTTCAATACAAGCAAGAGACAAAAGGCTGAATAATATGAATCACAGACTGACTGCTGGGAGAAACTGTGGTGAGAACAGATACCTCTCATGCTTATACTAGATCCAAAAGGTGCTGTTATGATAAGGATACAGGTGAAGTTGACTTGGAATTCCAGAACGGATTTCAATGATGTCCTCACCTTTCAACTAAAATTAAATAAAAGTGACAGAAATTTTGCATAGGCATTTTTTTATTGTTTTGTTTAGAAAGCATATGGCCTTATGTACTGGATATATAGCTAAATTACTTATAAATGGAAAGCGCTAGTTGGATGAAAATTAGTTTTGTATGCTTCAGAATTTACCATTTATAGATTATATTGTTTTAAAACATGTACAAGCAGTAAGTTAACGGCTGGCTGTATATTTGGTCTTAATACATTGCAGTTCAACAAATACCTCCCACACTTACATTGCCATATAAAAACTTGAATTCCAGCCTAGGGAAGTAGTGGCTGCAAAGAACAAGTGATGATAACTTGAAAATATTTAGAAGGAAGAAGGATGGGGATGAATAATTAGGGTAGTGTTTGGAACCACATTGTCTGTGAAGGGTTATAAACAAGCACATTTAATTAGAATATCTAGAAAAACAATTGTGGTGTTTGTTGGACAGTAAAATGGCCTCCCAGTGAGAGAAGCTCTTACATTACAGCTTGTTTAAGTACATTTTCTCAAATAGGAAGTTATAGAAAAGCAACGATGTTAGTAAGAATAAAAAATAAAAATAATTGCATATTTCATTTTTATTTGGAGTACAGCTGCAAGATGTATTAAGCCTTCTTAGAGAAAATAATGTCAAGATATGCTTTAAGTTGCTGTCTTTGCCTACTGGGCATAAAAAAGAAGTTATGGAATAATGACTTATACATCATATCGTGAGAGTATTAGAAGAAACAGAAAATATATTCCTGAAGTTGTACCATAACTGATAAAAGCTGTAACAGTCATCTTTCATAAAACTTAGATCTTTTATTGAAACCAAAAAGGACTATGTGGGGGTAAATAAGGAAGACAGTATGCAATCTGCACACATGGTAAACTTATATGATATAACCCATTTTCTCTGACTCGTGGTGGGTACACTACACATTTCAGTTCTTACCCACAACCATCTTGTATCTCATCTGCTTCACAGTCAAAACAATATTAGAAACTGATTTTGCTTTTATGTGGTCTCAGGCTGTTCTTCCTGTCCACCTATCTATTGTAGTAGACACATGCTGAA